TGCAAGTATATCATATGAAAATAATCGAATGAAAGACATAAGCTAAAGTTTAAGTTGTTAAAGAGGGTGTAACTTAAGTATTAATACTTTAACACGCTTCATGTTAAATTTTGGACCTAGCATATGAAAATATTTTTAATCATTAGGGCAATGGTGAGATTCGAACACACGACCTCTTACTTTGATATCATGTTAAATAATCATCTATTCCAAAAGGGAGAAGATGTAATATAAATATTTATACTTCAACACGCCCGTCACATGAAGACTACATTTTTGCCTACATCCACAGACCTAACTACTACATCGGTATATTATTGAAAGTACTTGAGCACATGAGAGCTCAATCCTAGGATGAGAATTACATATGATAAAAGATAAGTATAACATATATCTATCTTCCTCTACATTAATCCAAACAACTTAGACAGTGATGGTCTTTTTGGAATCTATCGTATATCTATCTAGATATTGATGGATTTTTTCTGATTTTATCGTATCTCTAATATTTGTATATATTGATGTTTGTATCTATGTTTGCTCTGTGTCGGGGTGGCCTCGGCTGGATTTAGCAGGCATTAGATATATTTTGGAGCCACAAAAAGCATATGTTATGCTCTAAAGTTCAAAGCATCGTAACTCATATATTCATTCCTATATTTTTATTTCTTTTTAAAAAGGGAACAACATGTGAGAGCTACTTATAACGGAGATGTCCATCATATTATTAAGTTGGTCTACTTATATAAGAGCAATGTTATAGAGACCTTATTTAGAAATTTAATTTGAGGATCTAATGATGTGGCTTCAATGCAATCATTGAATTAGTTGTGAGTTTTAATATTAAATGGAGCTCACAATTAATCCAATAATAATATTAAATTAAGTCCCTATATTAGATCCCCAAATTAAATTCAAATAGTATTTTCCCTTATATATATAGTTAAAATGAAGATAAAACCTGAGAATAAATTGTGTAGAAGACCTTGACACCCACAGTTGAAGAGTTACCACTGATAACTTCAGCACCTTCTTGCTGAAGAACACTGAAAACTTGATGCAAAGTGAAGCTCTTACTTAAGCCAGTTATCAAATTCACCTCCAAAATAGAACCCATCTCTCTTATGGCAAGCACTGGTGACACCAACCCAATCATCTGATCTTTAATTCCAGCTCCATCAGCTTGGAGTTGTTCCTTCTTTTGCCTCAGTTCTTC